CACCCCCACCCCCAACCCAACCGCCTCCTTCTTTGCCACCTTTACCACCTTCAGCGGAACCTCATGTTCCTCCTCCACCGTTACCTCCTTCAGAACCTGCCCCGCCACCACCACCTCCAGAACTGTCCCGCCACCACCACCTCCATCTGTACCTTCAATATTTTCGCAACCTCCTTTGCCTCCAACAACATCTCCACCTCTGCCACCTCTGCGACCTATACCATCAGATCCGCTTCCTCCTTCGACAGAGGAGCCTCTTCTTCACCAGGACGAACCAATGCCTTTCCAAGACGAAGACGAGGAAATGGAAATCATTCCTCCTCAACCCTCCTTTCACGACCTTCCTCCCGGTCGTCGAACGGTCACCTTCGCCGACCATCATTCCTCCACCCCAGCCTCCGATCATGCAAAACATTTCCTCCCTCAACGGCCTGCTTCACCTCCTTGGGCAGCTTCTTCCTCCAGTCGCTCAAGGGACTCTTCCGATCACACCGTCCTTCTGAGAGGACTCAGTCTCCTAAGAAGCGTCGTTCTCCAACACCACAACCCCCTCCTCCGCCTCCTCCGCCTCCTCCATTACCCTCTTGGCCTCCAGCCCAAAGTGAATACTCTCCTGGGCGGGCGTTCAAGGTCCTATTTGATCCTGCTGTCGATTCTGCTTCTTCTTCCTACACCCTTTTCCAGTATCCAAACACCAGGCTGCCGTCATATTACCGCGGTTTGATCGAGCATGTGCGGAAACATAGTTCTAGCAGCCGGCCGAGCGGATAAAGGCAAAGGAAAGGGAAAGGAAATATTATACAGGTACGAGGGTGAGGTTCTCAGGCCTGGGCCTGATGAAATGGACATTGGGGATATGAAGGAGGATGAGGTTGTGCCTTCCGATCCGAGGAAAAACACGTCCATTCGTCGGCCTAGTCTAATAAGAAGGGTGAATACGGAGCTTATTCCTTTGAAATACGAGGTCGTGTCCAGTTTTCCTCGTTATAACCTTTTCCTTTCATTTTATGTCATCTTTGGCATATGGGCACAGACAGCTTTCATGCTGTCAACACCTCCTTTTTCTACGTACCATCTTTCTTTCTAATCATTTTTGCATGTCCGCTATGAACTATTTGATTGACATCACAATCTTTCCTTTTGACAGTACGACGTCAACTCCACTGGACCACCGCCGCTACGTCTGTGCTAATACCAACTTCTCGCCACTAACTTCCAACCGCGACCTCCGGCGGCACCTGAGCCAACACGGTGCCATCCCTTTCCTTCGAGCCCCAAATAGACAAAGAGAACGGCAGCGCTCTCGGCATTGTCTTTGTTAAATTCCAAACGCATGAAGAGGCCAAACGCTGTGTTGAGCGTGAACATGGGAGGAAAGGAGGAATCGGAGCCCTCGGCGTGTCGATGATGAAGCCTGGAGAGGTGGAAGAGTGGAAGGTTGTATTTGATGGGGAGGGTGTAAAATTGAAGGCAGTGTTAAAGGAGTTGGACGAGAGGAAGAAGAAGGAGAGAGAAGACAAGAGGAAGGGTGTCAACGGTGGAAGCTCTGGTCCTTCTTCCATACCTAATGGCCTCAAGTCAAGTGCTTACTCCCATGAGTGGGATTGGAACACCACAATCTGGGATGCGAGTCCTGCTCCACCAAGGAAAGGCGGACCTCCAGGACTCCGAATCATTTGCGAGGTAGTATGCAACAACGGCCTGTAGGTCCTAATGGTCCGCCTGCCCATCCAAAATGCAGCCTCCCTCCACGACCATCGGCCAGTGTAGTCTCAGCAGCAGGTCCAACAACATCTCCCACCAGCCTCGGACTAACCGGCATAGGCTTTACGACACAACGCCACATTCACGTTGGAAGACACTTCAGCACCAAGCGACAGCAAAAGCACCCTTCTTCAACACAACGCAGGCCAATAATCTTAAAGATCTACGGCCTGTCTCTGCAGTGCTGCAGCGGGCGCGTGCCAAAGCCGCCGCCATGCATTCTAAACCTTCCCAGTCAAAGTCGGCGACGATGCAGAAGAAATTAGCACAGGCGACGAAGGGCGTGTTGGCTGTGTACCAGGAGGAGGAAGAGAGGACGATGATGACGATGATGGGCGCTGATAAGTCCGCGGCGGACGGGAGAAGGAAAGGCAGGAGGTGGTAAGGCAGCTGGCGGGAAAATGGACATGAACATGTCAAAATCCATGGGCATGGGGGTTTGGGTGCGGGGCTGGAGGAAGATGTCAGGACGTTTTTGACTGGTTTTCGAGGTCGATAAGGTAGGTCCTTCATATCATTTCTTTCTCTTCCTTTTTTTTGTAGTTTAACCTTGATTGCTGAGATAAACATTATTTTTAGGTTCTGAAAGACCACACTGGGCTTTATGTCCCTTTCGAAGAAAGGTGTGGCGCAGCGGTGCAGCAACAGTCCAGTGCTACGAGGCGCCTTGGAATGCAGTCCGTGACACTGACCTGGCAATCCACCACCAACCTACATTCCAGTGAAGGAGAAGGCACACTGGGATGATGTCGAGCTCGTAGAAGCTGCGCAGAAGATGGTAGTCCAAGAATTGAGGATTTGCTGGAGAAGGACATCACTGAATCGGATTGTGGCGCATGACCTCAAGAAGATATGGCAGGAGGAGAAGAGCAAGAGCACGAGTACGTTTAATAAGCAGCTGAAGCCGCTGGAGAGGAAGGGCTTGAAGGGCTTGTCGTTCAAGAAAGCCAAGAAGGTTGTGGTGGTTGAGGTTGAGGAGAAGCAGGAGCCGGAACAGGGACAAGAGAGGGAGGAAGAAGAGGAGGAAAGTGAAATTGATGAGAGGCCAAAGAAGAAGAGAAAGACAGACATGATCAAGAAGCCTGCTAGGAAAGTAATTGATGAAGAGGATCTGGAGTCCGAAGAAGAGGACGAAGAAGACTTGGCGCGTCTGGCTGCTCTGGCTCAGAACGGGCGCCCAAGCGTGCTACCTCAGAAGATCGCGAAGAGGAGGAAGAGGAAGAACCAGTGAAGAGAAAAAAAAGTCGAAGAAGAGGTCAACATAAGAAGGCGACAAGAAATCCAAGAAAGCTCTGCGCGTGCAAGAGGTCATCCTGGGCGATGCAGAAACTTTCGAGTCGCCTGCTCTGACCAACTTCGTCTCGACTCTGCTTTGGAGTCATCACTATCGCCTTCTCGATCTCCTACTCCTGTCGTTATTCAGCCCAAGCAGCGACGTAAACGACCCCTCACACCGCCGCCGACACCGCCACCCGATCCCTCGCTCCGGATCTCTGCGAAGACGATGAAGACCTATATTACGCCAAACTTGCCTTATCCGGGGGAGATGCCAAGTCAAGAGAAGCTACAGGCACCTGCTGCACCTGCTGATCCTGATGTGCTAACCTTTCGCAAGCATCTCACAGGAAGCGCGAGAACGGAAGGATACTACAAAATCACGCATGCGGAGAAGGCTGCGTATGTGGCGCAATACCAGCACGTGCTGCAAATGTACCTCTATCGTGGACGAGCCTCAGCCACAGCACATCACCTCTTCTCGCTCAACCGTGCCAATGCTCGTCGCCGCGCCTGGTCTCGAAGAGATCATCAGGTTCAACGAGCCGTGGCGCTGTCCAAGGGCGAAACTGCCAACGAGCTGACGTTCAAGTTCAATCAGCTACAGACAAGGAAGAAGCACCTCCGCTTTGCTCGGTCGCCTATCCATGATTGGGGCTTGTACGCTATGGAGAAGATTTCGAGAGGCGAGATGGTGATTGAGTATGTGGGAGAGATTATTCGTGCGCAGGTGGCGGGACAGCGTGAGAAGGCCTATGAGAGGCAGGGCATTGGAAGTAGCTATCTCTTCAGGATTGATGAGGACCTCGTGGTGGATGCTACCAAGAAGGGTAATCTTGGGTGCGTTGCTTGGTTTATCTTAACCTCTTCACGCTAACTTAATCTCTTTTCGCCGCTAGTCGCTGATCAACCACTCTTGTGATCCAAATTGCACTGCGAAAATCATCACGATCAGTGGCGAGAAGAAGATCGTCATCTATGCGAAGCAAGATATCGAACTGGGCGATGAGATCACATACGGTGCGTGCTGATCAAGGCTTCTCCCGAAAAACCATGATTCTGATACATCTTGCCAATTTAGACTATCATTTCCCATTCGAGCAAGACAAAATCCCTGTCTCTGTGGTTCTGCGAAGTGTCGTGGATTCTTGAACTAGATTCTTTATAATCATCATCATCATTCAGCATCCATTGTTTTATTTGCCGTTTATACCCGCTGCTTAGCTTGCGTTTTTTTTTTCGCTGTCTGCATATCGAGCCATGTATTTGTTTTTTTATTTCCACCATATCGCAAAAGCTTTCCTCCGTTTCACGTCCATGGATACCGCACACCCAGCTCGGCCTTCTGAAATGTTGCAAGTGGACCAGAAAAAGGCTTGGCTGAAGTCAAGTGCTTGGAGTATATAAATTTGTCACAACATTGACAGCCACAGGCAAACAAATGACCGAAGAGTATATAGGGGGTCTCAGATGAATCACTAACTTCCAAATCATTTAAAAACCCTCAGCTTATGCTTCCTCCCGGCAATAATACGAAACTTAAGGACTCTCATAACAAAGACTTCAAGGGCAAGCGACGCGTCCATTTCGTCTCCAAGGGCGCTAGTAGCAAGGACGTTGATTCTTCATCTAAAGTAAAAAAGGCATCTAAACGCTTGTCATGGTGTCAACGCCTCAGAAAGGCGTTGTGGTGAAAATGCTATCACTTCCTTGGTATCGTCCGCCAACTGTCCCTCCCGGTCCTTGGAAAACGCACTTCGGTTATCAACCAGTGCCTAAGAAGTACGTTCAGAATAATTTTTAAGGTCATGTTTGAGTTAATTTTAGTCTCAGGGAACTGCCTTGACATAGCTGGACATTTGGGGTTTATCATCAGTCAACCCTTGAGAAGCGTGCAGGAAAATATGGTCCGACCAGAGCCGATGAGGTGCGCCTTATAATTTTCATTCGGAACAAAATATCTGTCCCGGAGAGACTCGAACTCTCGATCTTCCGATGTCCTTGGAATTACACTTATTCCTAACAGTCGGACGCCGTAACCAACTAAGCCACGGGACAACTCCATCGTTTGTTTACCAGTTGCAGCTCAAGGCAGTATAGACGTCGAGATTTGGCCTGGGGTGGTGGGTGTCGTGCATGAGAGCTGGACCAATTTTTGGGTTGGGTGAGAACTGAGTATTTAATCAGCTTAATGCTAAGGCTTGTTCAAAAGCATAGGACGGCCTATTTTGGTTTTGCTTTCTTAAAATATTCTTCATTTCGTATTTCCTAGCCGTCGTATGTTTATCCGGTCGGTCCGCGACCCTTCCATTCCAAGTACTGAACTGAATTGTCGCATCATTAGATTAGTTGGCCTAGTTCTGTGGGTGGCTTACTATGGCGCCCAAATACTTCCAAGGAAAATTGTAACTAAAATTACGCACTAAGCATGCGTTTTCCTGAGTTTTATCAAACGTATTTATCAACATATGTCAAGCTACGCTTTAACTAGGATTTCACTTTTTGACATTTGTGGGAGCCGATTCTCTTACGTATTTTCAAGATGGTTTGTGCAACCCAAGAGTGAAATCTTACTGGGCCATGGCCAGTTTTCCTCGGAGTGCGCGCGATCGTCATAAGTTGGTCTGTGAGAGGAATCAGTGACGGATCTCAGAACCTACTCTGCAATGAGCTCTTACCTCTTACAAATCATGTCATCCTGGAGCACATGCACGCTTCGTGGTTGAAATGAATGATCGTAGTACTCCGGATCCTCCCTGTAAGCACAGCACCATGAAGGTATGGAATTAGTAAAGGCTTTTCCATACCAGTGCCAACTAACTCCAAGCTCACGTAACAGATACCCTGAGTGCTGGCCTCCTACGGATGCCTATCACCGAGAGCCGAGACAAGCACACAGGCTACAGATTGCGGTCATCTTTTCTTGGGAATTATCCTGGTTGGAACATGAGAAAATATGATCCACACCAAAGTCCGTGATTAAACTATCAACTAGTTGAACGAAACGAAGCCGTTGAAATACCCCAGAAGGTCTGTTCAACCTTACCGCAAACCTTTGCCATTTGGTGACCTGAAGCGAGAAGCTGGCGGGGAATTGAAGCCAAGTGAAAATTCTAAATTTAGCCTATTCCTCACGGTGACATTCAGTAGCAGTGGGTAGTTGCTGCCATCTATAATGTCTTGTCTGTAGACCTAATAGCCACCCCGCAAAAATTCAGCTGCCTTGTTGAAAACCAGAACATTGCAGAGTAGCTTAAGGCAAGAACGCACAATGGTCGGATATCTTTAGTAACACCTTATTTGGCTTGTGTAGCCTTGTGTATCCGTGTTTTTAGAACTCCGCCTGCTTCTCCGCACCTCTGGGTAGTGTCCTGCCATCTGGCGACCTCGCTCTGTAACAAAACGGAAACCGCGCAGCGTTTAAAACTCTAAATCACGCGCAGAATACTTACCGCTAATTTCCAAGTATCCCTATGCATTACGCAGGGAGCGGTTTGTAGGCAATTTCACGAGAAGTCCCACTGCTGGCAAAGCTGTACGTGTCTGATAAACTATATAACGTTTACCGGTTGGTTCAAAGCAGCTCATAATGCAAAACTATAAACTCCCTACTATCTCTATCTCTGGCATGGATAGGACTTTACAAAGATCACAATCCGCTTTCGAAGTGAGATAATGCCGCAGTCTGTCGCCAGCGATCAGATTTACAGTGACCTGCATCAAAGAATACCAATTACATGACTGGGAGGTAGCGGAGGGCTGGAAGCGGCTCCCGATGTTTGCATTCGGTTTTATTTAGCAATGTCTAAGCCATCAGGACTTCAGAGTTACGTAAATCCGCTGGTTCATCCATTTTTTGGAAATAGGAATCGAAAGCTTGGCCACCTCGTTTATTGGGCTTAACTTTCTCCCATGGCAGACTTTGTAGATCCCCGATCCCCTTCAGCAGGAAATTGTGGTCACTGGATCGAAAGTGGCGGTCTTTTAGCTCACGAGAAAGTCCTGTAGTTTATTTTCCCTTGGGAGGCTGCCTTTATTTCTGAATTAGTCCCCATTCTTTAGTGCACCCAACAAGCACGCAAGTCACCATACGTATACATCACTTTCAGAAAACAGTACGTAAAAGCTGCTTATAATCTGCTCTTCGTTTTCAAAGTCCTCGTCGGTATTCTTCTAACTCATCCGGTATGTCGAAGAGTCTACTGAGTCTGCTCGTGGACAGAGTCCAAGGCAATTTCCAATCATGACCAACGGTTGATGCATCAATCTGCATTACTGATCTCCAGAATGATAAACTGATATCACTTGAATTCAGTTGGAAACCAGCATAGCTTTGGCGGACCCGCAGAGCCAGTGACCTGCCGGTGAATAATATGGGGAAGTTTCTAACTTTAGGTAGGACGGCAAAAGTTCTCAAGCACTTCGCTCCTCCGGACTTCCACCGGTCGAGCTGCGTCGGCAATCTGCAAAGGAAGAATTACGAATTACAATGGGTAATCATGCTAGTCTAAGCAAGTAACACAGGGGTCTTCATCTCAATGCTCATTGTCGATTCCATTATCGTTTAGGAAATGCCTGCTTAAGTTGTCATGATAGTGAGGCGGGCCTTGCAAGGAACTCGCTGCCCTGAGGTCTCTTCTTCGATATCATGACTGGAACGATGGAATGATGTCAATTTCATTGTTGATGAATTGGTAAGCTTTCATAACAACCTATATGATGCAGCGTTCCCAACAACAGATCTACTTAAGTGAGGGGCGGCCTGCCTTTTCGATCGAGTTCATTGAATCACGACATCATTGAAATTAAGGGTATATCGGCCCCCCACATCTGGTCAACTGTTGCATGGTGCACAGCAAATTTCGGCCATCGCAGACGAAAGGAGTTTGACAGTATCGGTGACGCAGCTCAGAGCACCCTATGTTCTATGATGGGGTCGAGGTAGTTCAAGTAACGAGGGACAGTAATTGAAGTATTCAGGTCAATCGCAATTAATTGATTCAATAATTAGGGTTGGTGGTATATGGGTACACTATACAGCTTGAGCAGTCAGCAAAGCAGGTAAAACATCTAAAAAGAGTGTGGATTCTGGGAAGTCCGAAATAGTTGTCGTTACCAAAAGAATGTAAGCAAGGATAGATGGACAGCGTGAAAAGTGTGAGGTGTGAGTGGGTCATGACTGCAGAGTCATGTTTTGAGTCTGCATGGGGGTACCGTTCATTACGTCAAAACTAGGTATCATATCGTGATGAATTCGTTTCCGAGGAGGGAGCCCTGCCATATCCTGAGGGTTATATTGGCGTTCAGTACGATATTCCATGTAATCCGGAGTACCAACGGGTACCTCGATGGGATAGCCATTTTCTTTCTGTTTATTAGATTACGCAACGAAAAAAGAGATCGGAGAGCCTACCATGGAGCTGAGGACCATGGTCCCATGTCCTCGAATGTTTGCGTGTTCTGGCCTGATCCTAGAGAACGTCATAAATTTATTAGCCCATGGGTCAGTCGATCTTTGCATACCTCCATGTGTCCCACTGGTGTATTGTTGTACAGATTCTGGCCGTCTGCAGGCCATTCAATCTTCTGCTGCACGCGTGCATTCATGAAAGGGTCTACGGGATTGCGGACCTCCTAATGATCAGATTTCTTGAGAACTTGAGTCCACTTATGAGCGATTCAATTATACCTCCATAGGATATCTCGGCGGACTTCGCCGGTCATCCCCTTCTATAGACGACTTCCTTGACCTCGTGTCTGAAGGAGAATCAGCCTGACATGATAAATCAGAAATCACGGAAAAACAAACCTAGAGGTATTTGATTCTGGGAGAGTAAAATAGCCACTCATGGATATAGGATTAGCTAAAAAGTTAATGTAACAAAGGTGAAACACGCTTACTGATGTCGTCCCTGCGCTTCTCAGCGCTGTTGACGGCTAGTCGAGCTTGGCGCTCAATATCCAGGCAAGAGGTGTATCGCATAAAGGCGTCTTGGGTATCTTTTTGGGCTCTTAATAGAGATGCGCGGGCAGCTTGAAGAGCTTGTTCTATATGATCGTGTGATCGTGAATTTCCAATCGGCCAGGAACATCCAAGGAGAAGCTTACTGGACGAACTGGCTTCTGTGGCGAGGCCTTCTGGAGTGCGCAATGAAGGAGACGTCCGTGAGTGTGGTAAGTGTACACTTGATTCATCTTGCATACGTTCTGGGGCCGAGTAGTCAGTCAAAGGGATAGAGTGGCACACAAGATGAAAACGCACCATTAGGGGGCCGGGACTGATCCATAAAGCTCTGCTCTGAAGGTTCGGGCGTAAAAGACTCGGAAGATTGATCTCGGTGAACGTATGACGCCTCGCCACCAACAGAGTTGCGGAGGCGGGGATTGTGTGGTACACCGGCTGCCTGTCGCTCGATAAATTTGCGTAGAAATGTAAGCTCAATGTCGTCTGGCATCGTGTAAGGTGGTCCCTGAATATCGCCTTTCTGCATGAGGAGTTCTAGATGGGACATTGTCTTGTCTTTCAGCTGCTGTAACCATTCGTGAAGTTCCATGTGATCTTGATCAGCTCGTGCGTCGTAGTCCTGGCGTCTTCGGGCTTTTCGCCAGTACGTTTTCGTCATTTTGAGAGCGCGATTGACTTCATTATCGAGCGTCCTGTACCAATCGCTCGCTTGTCGGTTTAAACGGACTGCCAAAACACCAGGCTGAACCCGCAACTGCAGTACGCATCTCCCCTCGCGATCGGGTGGCCCGAGGACACCCTTCTGACCCTGATTTCCTCTGGTGGCGCCACGGGAAACATTGCCGAGTTCTGGCCATGGCAAATCGTCAGGTTGAGACATCGAAGAAAATAGTTCGTGTAGGGTGTATAGGGTATAGAAATCCGTCAGAGATGGGTGAGTGGAAGAAAAGAATCAGAAATCAGCACGGTCATTAAATTGGACCCACTCGCACTCCAGCCAGAATCGGCATTTAAGGGAGAACCTCGCGGGCGCAATAAAATCTGTCGCCATCAGATCTAGTTGCTCGACAGACACGATGCCTGAAACACGTCC